TGTAACAAAATATTAAAAAATTATGTTTCTAAAGCTCAGATTCTCCACAAAGTTATTTAAACTACTGCCTTTCCAAGGAAAATATGAAACCATTACAATTTATTTCCCAGGCAGAATGTACAACCTAGATTAACTGAAAGCAAGCCAACAACGTGAAAAAATATATAACAGAAATGATAAACAAATGATAGGCCCAAGTGAGAATTATATTATAGGGTTCACTTTCATTCTCTTGTAAGGAGGTTAATTTAAGTTTTATGAAGATAGAGAACTTTTTTTAGTATGAAATGTACATTTGCACTGTGTTTTAGCATATACACATAAGTAAACATACCTGTTCTGATTTAAGCACACTGAGTTCCTGCTGAAGTTTAGAATTTTCACTTGGTTCAGTTGCTCCAAGTGACGATTCACTTTTCACTGATGGCAAGTGATCCATTACCAATCTTTCTTGCTTGCTTTCTTTTCCAATAGTCATACTTTCAAAAGGTATTTTCTCATCCTCCATTGTTTTTGATTCTTCACCAAAATCTTTATCTATTTTAGAAATTGAACCTCCAGAATCCCTGCTTGTCACAGTCACAATTCCATCTTTTAAAGAGCTTAACTGAATATCACACACACTTACATTTTCTGTCCTAGTATGGTTAATTCTGATTTCTAGTTCTCTACATCTCAATGAAACTTGCTCTTTCTCTTGCTTTAAAGATTTAACTTCTTCAGTTAGAAGACAAATTTCATCATGTTTCTGTTTTAATTGTTCAGAAAGATCAGACAGTTTCTCTGACAGTTCTAATTTTTCTCGCTTGGTTACCTCAAGTTTTTCCATAAGTTCTGTTGTATCTTTCTCAACAACCTCGCCAATTTCCAGTGGTTCTGCTATAAAAAGTTTGTCATCATCAAGGATTGAACTTTTCATTTTCTCAGTAGTTGGATTTAATCTTTGCAAATGATGAAGTTCTTCACTAAGTGCTTTAAGCTTACTTGTATACTCAACTTCTTGTTTATTTTTACTGTCTTCTAAATCATTTTTTACCTTGAGAAGACAAGCATAATCCTCCTGTAACTCTTGATAGTTAACTTCAAAATTTTTTTCAGCAAATGAAAACGTGTTCCTTTGCTTTTCAATCTCTTCAGTTAGCTGAACACACTGTTTTTTGAGGTCCTTATTTTCCTCTGTCAGTATTTCTATTTCTTTTTGCCAGTTACAGTCTTTGGATTTGGAGTTAATGGAGTCTATGAAAATTAATCTTTCTTCTTGGCTAACAGGAGTATATGTTTTCAACATGTCTTCAAGGGCTTTCTTTTCATCTTTAAGAATGTTATTCTCTGCTTCCAGTTGTACAAATTTTTCTTGAAGGTCATCCTCTTTTTCCCTCATTTGTTTCTCCAATAATTCAGTTTTAAGTTGTAATTCTTGAACTTCTTGTTCGAGTGTACCCTTTTCCATTTCTTCTTGTCTGAGTATTTCAATTTCTTTTTGAAGCTCATTGATTCGAAGGGTCATTTCTTCAGATTTTGAATTCACAAGGGACTGCTGTAAATCTTTTAGCTTTGAAATTTCCAAAATTAATTGATTCTGGTTAGTTATCAAATTGTCTTTTTCAAACTGGATGGTTTCTATTTTTTGACTCATTTCATTCTGTAAGCCATCTATCTGTTGTTTATAGTAAATGGCTAAGTTATCCTTAAGTTTTTCAGTATTTATTCGATGTTCAATTTCTAAATCTTCCTTCAGTTTGGAAAGCTCTTCTTCATGGCTAAACAGAAGCTGTGTTCTCAGTCTCTCTAATTCAGCTTCCTGTGATTCAGCCATTCTGTCTAACACAGCATTCTTTTCTCTTTCTAACATTTCAAGTTTTATCTTATAATTTGTAACTTCTGCTTCATGTTTTAATTCTAGTTCCTTCCTGGATTCTGATGCAGAAACAATCTCAGCTTTCAAATCTTCCACAGTACTAAGGGACTTATGTGCTTCATTGAGTTTACTTTCTTGTTCAGCTATTGTCTGTCTAGCTCTCTGAATTTGGTCCCTTGAAAAGCTCAATTCTTCCAAAAGGTCTTCAAGCTGTCTCTGTAGAGCAAACTTTTCTCTTGAAATTCCTCCTAGTTCTTCCTTGAGTTTTTCCTTTTCAGAGTTAGTATGTTGCAATTTTATATTTAGTTCATTTATTGCCACATTCATTAACTTTATTTGATCTTCATTAACTGTAATATTTGGATATGATCTTAAAGCATTATCCATTTCTTCCTTATGTTGTGTTTTCAGTTCATCTATCTGTGACATATGTTGTTTTATTAACTCTTGTTTCATCTGTACTATCTGCTGCCCATACATCTCATCCAGCTCTGCCTGGAGTTGTTCTAATTTTCTTTGTGTTTCTTGTTCCATTCTTTGCAGGATATCAGTTTCAAACTGGCTATCTTTATGGTTTTTCTTCTGAAGTTCTTCAACTGTCCCCATTAGTTGTTTTATTTCCTCAGAACACTGTCGTTCTTTTTGCTTAGAACTAGTCAGCTCTAATTTCATATTTTTTATCTCTTGGTTTTTTTGTACAACCTGTTCTTGTAATTCTTCCAGTAGTTTGTCAGCAGCTGTGACTTTATCCTTTAGCTCAAGAGTTTTTTTTTCTTCTCCTATTATTTTTGCATTCAATTCTTCAATGATTGCCTCCTTTTCCTGTATTTCTTTATTTGAGCTTTCTACCTTTTTATCTTGTTCCTTCAAAAACAAAAAAATGAAAATATAAAAATGGCATTTTTAGTACCTGGCAACTTATAGCACTTAGCCTCAGTATCAAAAAAGTGATAAAAGTCTTCTTTTTACATAAATATATAAAANTGAGTGCTCATCTCCCCCACATCCTCATCACACTTTTTATTGAAACTTATTTTGCAATCAGATGGGTATAACATGGTGTTTTATTGTTATATCAATTTGTAAGGTTGAAAGTATCTTTTCATGTTTATTAGCCATTTTGGTTTCCTATTCTGAGACACATGTCTATACATATTCTTCGTTCATTTTTGTATTTTTAGATCTCTGCTTACATTAAGTATTCTTTACACCTTCTTAATACTAAGCCTGTTTTTAATGTGTGTGGCAAATATCTAATCCTTGTTCTTCAACTTGTATCATTTGTAAGACACATATTTATCAATCTTTTCCTGTGTATTTGTCTTCATTAAAAGTCCTTCTCTACCTATCAAGATCCTAGTTTCCTTTTATGTGAACATCTTTAACCAACGTGGCTTTATTTCTTCCTAAGGGTAAGGATCTAACTCCCTAACTCCCCACCCCCAATATTGAAAGTAAGTTTTCAAAAAAGCAGTTCTCAAACATGGTAAACTTTTCCTGTTGATTTGGCGTCTTTCATTTCACCCGAATCTGCTCAAATATCACATCAGGTCTTCCCTGACCTACCCTATGGGGGGAAAAAAAAGTACTCACCAGCCTACTTCTGGTAGATTACTTTTATTTGCCTGTCTTATTTCACATCTAGCTCCTCTAAAATATAAGTTTTATTCTTTATTGCCTATTTGTATTCACTGTTATATCCTGAGTGTCTAGAATAGTACCTGGAGTATAGTAGAGGCTCCTTATTAATATAAAATAAATGTTAATTTTAATTTGCATATTCTACATACTAAAGTTTCACATATTATCTGGCTGTGTTTCTGGGTTTTCTATTTGTCTATCTCAGCATCAAAACCATATTGTCTATTATGATTTTTTAATATCTTGATATCAGATAAATTTTTCTAGGATTGCCTTGGATGTTCTTGGATATTTATTTACTCTTCTACATCAAAATTAGAATTGGTTTTTTAAGATCCATGAAAAATCTTGTTGGAATTTTTATTGGAAC